TTCAGTGCCAGACCCTTCAACTGCAGCCATGTCACCAGCAGTGCAGAACCCTGTGTTCACGCCGGAGCCCGCCCAGCGCAAGTCGGAATCGCGCAGCGCGGATCCTCCAGCAAAGGCTTTGAACAAGGACCTGGAAGAGACCCTTCATGAGGCTTTCGATCTGGACCGCAAGGAGACATGCATGTGCATGTATCGCCAAAAATCGTCAAAAATCATCGGATCATGGCGCGTACGTCAAATACTTTTGTTGCAGGAGCTCAGCGACCATGCTCTCTACATGCGCTTGAAGCGTCTTTGCACACCAACCGGGGCAGGGAAGATGAATGTGCCTAAAGAGGTCTTTGACCAGTGGCAGCAGGGCAACCGTGAAGAGCTGCAGCTCGCTTTGGTGAAAGCGTTGAAAACGCACGGCTATAAGGATGACGGTGCCACTCGCAAGTTGGTTCGGGCCGGGGTTGTGAAAAGATGTGCACGTGTTTTTTGTCTTCTTTAAGCATTGATGCTGTCTTGTCTCAGCCTGGTGCAGGGGGAGTTTTGCACCCAAATGTTCAAGCTCAAGGAGATGAAGACTCAGAAGGACGAAGAATTGGAAGGTGGCTGGTACACGGAAGAACGCATGGAGCGCGACCTGGGCTACTCCAAGTGGCTAAGCTTGAAGTTAACTCTTGTAAGCGGCAGCGGCACTGGTTGAATGGCTCGGGACTGTGCCCTAAGGTCTTTGATCCAGAAGGTGAAAAACTATTGCTACCGCTTCAAGAGTGTGCTGGTGAGGCCAGAAATGAAAACTAGGTAAATCAGATCTATAGAGTCAATTCAGTGCATGGCCGCAGGAAGTTTCGCTATGACGAGAGCATTGAAGAGTTTTTTGTCCAGACTGCAGACACTGTGAAAGTCAAGAAGTCGCAGCTGGAAGGCTACAAAGAAGTGGGCATGGGGGACTCTGAGGCGTTGATACATCACACAGCGCGCCGCGAACAACTGTTGAAGACATGTAAATCTGCTTGCAGTCATTCAGTCCTTGTAATTCTGTTGTGCAGGGTATGCCTGAGCTCGAGCGTGGGGCGTTGGTGGAGCTGCCCAAGGAGACGGCTCCTGGATCCCAACCTGTCAACTCTGTCGGAGACTTGAAGCGGCAGCTGGACAAGTTCACAGAATCCCTGCACCAGAAGGCTGCCCAGGTGACCGCGTGGATCCTGAACCTGAATACCTCACCTTTGGATCGGGCGAAGAAGCTCGCAGCCTAGTTGTGACCATGTCTTTCACTTTGTTTCACACGCACGCTGCCATATGATTGCTCAAGGTTTGTGCAAGAGTGCCAGACACTCGTCGACACCTTGGAAGGGTGCTTTGGGGACCTGGCAGAGTGCGCACACTTCTTGGAGGTGGAGAATGTGAGCGATGACAAGAGCAAGTGGCCTGGCCCATTCTTGAAACATTGGTGCATGAGCAAAAGCACAGTTTAAGTGTAACAGCTCGTCTTGCAGGTTCATCACCAAATTTCAGGCCGCCAAAGAGAAAGCCCGGAAACCGTGCCTTGGTCTTTTAATGATGCGGGTGATCACCGTGCAACCCTTTCAAAGCTTTCACGTTCAAATCCTTTTCCGTCCGCTTCTTGCGGCAGCCTTTTCCGCAGATGTTGGTTCATGCCCGTAGCTGTTTTTTTCCAAAAGACACGTGAGCCGCAGATCCGCGCAGCTTGTTCCGCATAATCACGTCGATATTGACGTTCCGAGCTTGTTCCGCAGCCTTTTCCGCAGCTTGTTCCGCAGCCTTTTCCGCTTGCCCGCTGGCAGCCTTTTCTGCAGCTTGTTCCGCAGCCTTTTCCGCTTGCCCGCTGTTAGCCTTTTCCGCAGCTTGTTCCGCAGCCTTTTCCGCTTGCCCGCTGGCAGCCTTTTCCGTGTCCGGTTTCCCGACTTTTTTTTGCTCGCTATGTCGCATTTTGACTCAGGTGCGTGGCAATCATGGCGAAGGAACATGTGTATAGGTTGCTGGCGGCAGAAGTGAAGAGCAACAAGCGCAAGGCCGACGCGGATCCTCCCGGTGATGAAGCCCTTGACGACGCCCAAGGTGCACAGAAGGGAGCCCCGAAGGCAAAGGCAAAGGTGAAGAGCAAAGCAAAGGCTAAAGCAGCCGCCTGAGAGCCTGAGACGAGGGTTTTGCTACGATTGCTTTTTGCGTCTTCCTGCTGAAGCAGCGGGCGTGCGCTCCAATCGTTGGGTGCAACACGGGCCGTAGAAGACTGCAGCATAAATTAAAAACCCCTTTGCAAACCGAGCCACATGCAGCTTGTAGCAATTGGACGCTGACAGTCTCAGCCCTGTGACCAGAACCTTGCATCTGGGGTCTTGAGGATGCACAGAAACGTTCCGAAAGAAAAAGACGGTGTGACATATAACGCACATCTACCTCCCATATATATTCCTTACTTTGGCAATGGAAGGCAGGCATCAGTAACCAGACCTTCACCTGGCCAGGTTTGCTGGGCGAACAACCTTGCAAAAAGCGCCTGCGGCGGGAGCGCGCTGAAGTGATCCCTAGTGCTACGGTGCAAAATTTGGCTCGCAGCCTCGCCCGTGGAGAAACTTGCACGCAGTGATCCAACCGCCCTGTATACTTGTCAATTTTTGTCAAAGGGCAGCAGTATTGCTTCGCACATCGCCCAAGGCACCGGCAGTGCAAGTTGCAGAGCACGCCCAAGCTATCTTAGATGATGATGCAGCCAACGGCTTTGCGTGGAAGGACCGCACCTTGCAGCGCTTGGCTCGGGCTGGAGCTGCACATTCTGCCCCTTGGTTACAAATGCGAACATGGGCGCCTGTGTGACTTAATACTTGGTTACTTGGATGGTGAATCCCAGGCGAGAGACGTCTTTGCCGCCTTGAAAGATGCTGCGTTGAAAGTGTCGATGAAAATTTCATATGTGAGCTTGGGCCAAGCCAGAGAACACCCAATGATTCTGCCAAGTGACTTCGTTTTGGCTTTGACCCAGAGGAACCGGCTGGCCTTACTCCTCCCGGACACAACTCTGGACTCCAGCGCGTGTGTTTTAGAAGAGTATTGGAGGCGCTTCAAGCTCCAATTTGGCGCTCGCTGACCATGACGTGTTCTCCCATGTCCCTCCGGAGCACCTCTCGAGCTGCGTTCCAATCAAAATCCATGGCGATGAAGGGCGGAGCCTCTTGGCAACTGCAAGTGTGATATTAACGCATGATTTCTGTGCTTGGACCTGTGTTTTGTGGCTCGATTTTGCGGAGACCAGGCAAGAAGAAGATGCCCATCATGCTGCTGAACTTTCAGCCTATCTTGGGTGCTGGCACAAGCAAGTCAGTATTGCGGAGCAAGCGGGTGCAAGGAGAGAGCATGAAGCTCAACATGCTGGGAAACCCAGAAATGACAAGGTTCCTGTGCCTGGCTGCCCTCAAGGAGACTTATGAAGAGGATGACGCGGTCCTCCCCGATGCCATGAAAATCATTGCGGAAGACCTGCATCGGGCCCTTACACAAGGCATTGACCTACCAGGTGGCCGCAAGCTGCGCTTGGCATGCACTTCCGTCAAAGGAGATTGGCCATTTTTGATAGCTGCCGCCGATCTCAATCGTCATTTCAGGCGTGCCCCAAAAGCTGGACATACTGAGGGACATGGGATTTGCCATTGGTGCCTGGCTGGGCAAAAAAACTATCCTTTCAGTGACTGTGGGGCAAACCCGCGCTGGGCCCGCACAGAAGGCAGCGCGGCGGCTTCTGCACCATGGGATTCTCTGCAGCCTTTTACTGCCTTGCTCCCGGCTCCACATGGCTCACCAGAGAAACTGTACCGCCCCGACATCTGGCATAATTGGCATCTCGGCCACGGCCGGTATTTCTTGTCTTCAGCGTTCATCATAGTCCGCAGCCTTTGGAATGAAGAATCTGTGCACGATGGCTTTGCTGGCATGACGTGTTCGTGGAGAGCCTTCTGCCGCCTCAAGAAAGTCAAGCCTCCTTTGAGCAAACTGACAAAGGAGATCTGTGGCTACACAGCGTTTTTGGATTGGCCTGAGGGAGGTTGGCAGAAGGGTTCAACGACAACTTTGCTGTGCGACGCTTGTTCTTTGATCTCGTATCCATGCATGTTCTTTGTTCCGCGGTTTTGGTTGGTAAGTGCGTCCCGAGTTCAATTGCTGAGGAATTCCTTGAAAGTGCTTTGATGCAGCCTGATCGCGCGGAGCTGGTGCTGCTTGACAGGCGCCTTGCCTTGATATTGCTTGTGGCAAAAAGCATAAACTCTTGCATGGCGCTGGCGCTTGGCTCCGAGATGATGAAGCCGCTGGCATTGCTGCTGATGGGCTGTGTGCCTGCAGAGGCTACAGGGCATTGGCGACAGAATCTCTTGAACGTGGTGAGCCCCGCTTCCCTCTACATTCGAAATTCCACATGCTTGTGCACACCTTCATGGAGCTGGATGCAAGGAAGTTGACCTGGCAGGAGTCGCCGGTGTGTGACAACTGCCAGATGGATGAGGGCTTTGTGGGGCAACTTGCCCGATACAGCCGACGTGTTTCACCAAAGTCAACCATCCACAGGATGTTGGATGTATACTTGACGTCTCTATGGCGGTTGTGGCGGACTTGACCACAGTGAACCTGGTGGAAAAACATGCACGAGGGCCAGGGTTGCCATGGGAGTGTTTCAACATCCGGTAGGGGGTCAGACACCACCTACTAATAGAAAACAGTGAAAAGAAAAGAAAAACCGGACCAAGAAAAGAAAAACCGGACTAAGAAAGGAATACCCGGACTAACCCGGAGAACCCGGAGAAAGAAAACTATTTCCGGAAAAGATTTCTTTTTTTCAAAAAGATTTCATTTCGTGGTTTTCAGGTTTGACTGGTATATATATATATATATTTGTTTAATCATATATATGTTTGCAGGATGAATTTCACGCGACACCCGTTTTCACCAGGTGAGCCCTGTGAGCTCCAAACCTCGATTCTCGACCGAGGCTGCGTCCGAGAGGCGTCGGAAGTCGGCTGCTAAGGGGCGACAAGCCTGCAAGACCTTGAAACATCTCGGAACGGTTCGGTGCTCTCCTAGCCATTGGGTTTGAGTATGTTTGAGTGGTGTTCCCACCGCCCTGTTTGTAGAAACAAACAGTATTTGAGGGGTTGATTTTCCACTGACATTCCACTTACCATACATGTTCATCTTGGTCCAACTAGGCCAACCGCCAACTGCCCTGAGGCCCCCACTGGCTCTCGATCTCGAGCCTGTCCGAGCCGAAGGAGCTCTGAGCTCGCCCGGTCGACGGCTCCCTTCCGTTAAAGAGAGAAAACAACATCCAACAAAAACCACCGGTTTCAACAGTTGACCCATAGTGGAACCAGTAGAACCAGAAACTGTGAAGTGCTAGTGGGACAACTACATTGGATCTGAGAAAGACTTCTGATGAGTAAAGAAACACCTGCAGCCTGTATAAATATCCGTCATATATCAGAATCTCATATTGTTTCTCATCTTCTTGTCGTCAGAAACTACACAATACAAGTCGTGCAATGTCAATGACTCAGCAGCCAAGAAACATCAGCAGCATGTCAAGACAACGTTTTCTGAACGACGACAAGCTGCGCAACCATGCGCAGCCTACAAACTCAATCATCTTAGAAGAGAAATCTCCACCTAGCACTTCCAAATCTTCCAATGGGTGCCCTGTCTGGAGGCCTGTTTGCATAAGGTAGGGTAGTCTATTGGACACCCAGACAGGATCGACCCTGGCAGGTGCATTTTCCTGAATCCGCCGTCGCCCACCTGGCGATGCTTCAGGGCGGCCACCAATGCCTCTGTCGACAGGCGGAAGTTCGGGCCCCGGGTGACCCGGGGAGTAGGTGGAAGTCGTCACAGTTTCCTACTGTTTCCTACGTTGCCAGGTCTGTTTTCACCTGGTTGGTAAGTTTGGCATTTGGATGCCAGGTTCTATAACACCAAAGCTGATTTCCAAACATACTGTACCAATCTGGCATGGCAAATCTTTGATCTGCCATATCAGGATCAGAAGACACTGAAGCAAATCATCCAACGATGTTGCAGCCGTGGTGTAGGATGTACTTTATGTCCATCGGGATTGGTTTCACAAGGTTTCACTACTCACAATCGATGAAGACAACTGATGCGCACCAAACTCCACTGCGGAGTGCACTCAAAGGCAACCGATCCAACATGGATCGTAATCACGCGATCGAAACATCGGTTGACCTGCGAAGGTTGTCTGACATGTAGACTCTCTGCGATTCCGGTTTTCAGATGTCGACACCTGGGAGTCGATGAACCCTGGTCGACTCGGAAGACCATGAGAAACGGGATCGACCGTCCAGGTGGATGACCAGTTCTCCACGTCGACTTTAGCCGGAAGAGTGTCAACGGCTAATTGGCTCCAACCGAAGAAATCCGGAAGCCACACCAGTTTCACAAAGTCGGGCGTTGACTTCTGAAAGACAGTAGAAACTTCATGTCCATTGCTGGCTGTTAGTGCAGAAAGTGGTATTAGATGAACGCATCGAAGGACCCCTTCGTACAGGACGTGCACGTGAAGCTGGGGATTTAACGATAATGCTGCCGCAAGTGGCTGTTGATAATAATGTGTTGTTATTGGTGCTGATATTTTTGATTATACGGTGTTCTTTTGCGTCGTTGATGATGATGACGATGCTGTGGTCTCCAGTCACATGTCTGTTCGATTTCATGACAAAATAGTTGCAGTATAAATGCAATGATGTGAACAACAAACATGTTGCGAAGGAACATGCTAGGATATAGGATGCTATAGGATCCACAAGCAAGCTTGTGACAACGACACCCATGCTGTCAACTCTGAGCTGACGTGGGATGTGAGGGGCGTGCTGCCACTCTCACAAGGATTCCAAGTGATAAGCCTGTCTGCTGCCTGCAACGCACAGCAAAGAATAGGGTGAGAATCAAGCCAACATGGCAAACAGCAGAAGATGCGTTAAATTTCAAATGCATCGCAGGAGACATGAGGACGGCGCTTTGTTGGAAACGATACCGGCAAAGTCAAGCCTCTGATGTTTTGCGCGTGCGCATCTGCAAATGGATAGAACAGCAGAAATCAGCCATGGTGGAGTCGCAGCACTAACATGTGCTTCAAACGAGGCAGCGAGTCTTTAAGCCCACGCCTTCTATTCTTGAACTGTTTTGGGGGTCGAGCGCCTTTTGCGCCTGGTTTTTCGGCCGTTCGAGCGATTGAGAGCTGAACGAGCACGAACTGCCCGTTCTCTCGTCCCACATCGCCTCGAAGAGTGCGTGGGAGTCTTCAGGTAACACCTGCCACCAAGAGTTCGAACGGAGACCAGTGGGCTGCGAACGAAGGGCAAATGGCGAACGGACAGGATGGACAGGATAGGGGCATTTGGGGGGGGCCCTGCTTGGTGTGCTTCAGCCCGTTTCATCTCTTCATTTAACATTAAAGGGCAATGTTTCAACCGAGGGGGATCTCATATGATCTCGGATGCTAGGGAGGGTCAGCAGTGGTGGAAGTGGGATTTCTAAAACTGATTGCCCTCATTTGGTGTCTGCCAGGAGCTCCTCCTTTTGATGGAGACATACCCCTGTCGACCTCGTTGAAGACACCATCAACTCGAAGATCAACTGAAGCTACGGGAACTCAGGTATCATCGTGTTCGGCCATGTGTGAACCCTCTTAAGCCCAGAGCATGGGGAAACAAAAGCGGTTTCCTTCGTCAACGTCTAAGGGACTCTGCATCCAAGAAGACTTGTCAAAGCATGTATCGAATTGCTAAAACCAGGAGTTACATCAAGTTTGGGTAGTTTTTGAGCCCCATCCAGCGAGTGCATGTCCTGGGCAAACCCTCATGATTCTTCCAGCTAGGGCACCCTGAAGTTGAACTGCATCACTTCACCCATACTCATCAATGGGCACTCTTCAATGGGTTGAACTGCATAACTGTAGACTCTTGATAAACAATTTCACCCCCATTTGGATTGTAAAGCATATGGGGTGGGGCCCATTCATCAAAAGTCGACAGTGTATGTTGGACAGTTCCCCGCATGGCGACCCGGGCAAAGTCTTCGCACATAGGACGCAGGACAGGAGCCTATTCATAGCGAACTTGCTGCGAACTTCCCTTCCACCGAACCCACCATGAGTTCCGCACCGGTCCCAGTCGGCCGCAGGCACGAGCGATCAAAGAAAGCTGCCCTGGAGAGAGCGCCTAGGAAAGGGCCACGCGTTCTTTTTTTGTTCTATATGTCATAATTACATGGTTTTTATACATGGTTTTCTGATGCTTTATGCGAGTGCTTTTCACCAAACGTTCTGCTGCAAGTGCAGTGGTTTCTGCTTATGTGGGGTGAAACAATCGTGTCCCTCATGGTGAAAGCAACTGGCCGCGACGTCCAAATTCGATCACCTGGGACAATACAGCCCCGCCACATCTAGACAGCCACCGGCTGTCTAAAGAAGTGACCCTTAGACCAAACGACTCAGTTGCTTGAAGATCAAACATATCATCATTGAGTTTTGAGGATATCAATCACCCTCCAAAACGCCTAACCACACCCTAGCACCGAACAGCCCGCTTCTGCCCATGTTCCACCGCCCGCACCCAGGCGGGTGACACTCGGAATGATCACGGGCGCCACGTGGATGGAAAACTAGTACACTCTGGAAGAGTAACATGGAACCTGAAAACCACTGGGTTGTAGAGGAAAAGGGTTTTCCAAAGGTCCAATTTCAGGTTCCATATAGGTCTCTTCCGGGGTGTGCCTGGAATGAATCATGAATCATGATTTTTTCTCACGTGAGAAGAAACACACTACTTCCTTCCCTGGATGACCAACTCGGATACCAAACCGGTGGTGCCATCCATGTTCCGCGCATTCCGGGGAGTGTTGGCCACCCAAAATCCATAGATAACCCGTTCCTTCCAAAACGCCTTTTCGATTTCACCTTGCGCTAACGTTTCGAGCGGATCAGATTCGCGAAGCATTCTTCTCGGCCCAGTGTGACCGGGAGTGGAGGCACAGATTCGGGCGACACGAAAAAAGAAGGGCCTGTTCGTACCGTCGAAATACGCCCCGTAACGTCAGACATGGTGAATGTGACGAAGTGAAGAAGAGACCACCTACAGTAGGACCTTCGAAGAGGTGTCTATATATAGTCTATCTATAAATAGCCTCTTAGAGGTTAAGGGGTGTAAAAAAACCACTTGTTGGAATGTCCTGGCAAATCATTTTGGATTTTGAAGAGACTCATTGCATTGATGCGTATGAAGTCACCTTGAACTATCGCCTCCCAAAGCAACAACAATCACTTCGAACGAAGAACAAGTTGTGGCCCTTCACATGGCACCTCTGTCGATGGCACCTCAGTCTTCGTCTTCAAAGCTGGCCAGACTGATGATTGATGTTTCGATCAGCCAACTTCCGAATCTTCTAGCCGAACGGTTTGGGGTCGCCCTTCTGACACGGGTCAGGACCCGCCACTGGAAGTCCCCCGCGTTTTCGGGGCTCACAAAAAAGCCAGTGGGGACTGCTAGTGACCCTGAAAAGGCAGCCAGGGCAAAGCTCCAACAAAGGCTTTGTGCCTTTTTTCACAAACACACAGCACATAATACTCACAGAGAGCTTGATTCGATCCATTAAGTTTATGTGATCTCCAAGAATCCATACGGATGAAGGAGAAAAACAGTTCAGGTTGGTGTTTTATTGGTAGGAATAGGACCATTCGCTGGAGTGGACTTTCGTGCATTTTGCTTGCCTCTACGAAGACAACTGTTCAGGCTGCTCTCAACGCCTGTAAGTTCTGGGTGGATTGAGAGTAGATGGCACAAATGTCCAAGTTTGGTGGTTTAGTAGTGGACCCCCATCTAAAGGCCATCCATCTTGGGGTGCCAGTGCCATTTCTCACCTCTGGGAGTGTCCGACCCATTTCACATCATGTGAGTCATAAATTAACATCAAACAATGTGTATTATATATATATATGTGTGTGATCAGGTCCCTGGAGCCCTGGAGTATCAAAAAGTAGCTCACAAACCACATACTTCTGGGCCATGTGGATGTTCCCATGCCACAACATCCTATTAGAAGGGTGACTGTTTGGGTTGTGGGGCGTTAAATTTGCCTGATCCGTTCTGGTCCATGTCTAGCCAACTGATCTTGGAGCTCCCAGCATTGATCTACTCTGAAACCGAAAAAGGGCCATGCTGAGAGCCATGCTAGGTCTTGCGGATAACCTTTGGACCCCGAAGGACTCAGTTGACTGAAAGGAAGGGCATTTCAAGCTTCGACACCGGTTTAAGCGTTTGGTCGATGGAATTATGTATGGTGTGAAAAATTCGGACAAGCCCTTAACATCCTTAATTCAGAAAATATCTACGGTTGTGACAATGATCAAGGTGTCGGCAATTCCACGTGAATGGTAGTGTAACCCCTAAACCGTAAATCCCTACAATCCCTAGTTGATTGGTGTGGGACGGACTGTGAGCCTGGTACTACTTCTACTTTCATCTAATCTTATCTATCTGCTACTGAGTGGAGGAGGATTTGATCCCATTCAACTTTCAATGTATTATCTATATTATACATATTTATGACCAAATATTTTACCAACAAAATCCCAAACAGATTTCTGCTTATCCCACTGGGCCAAGTGGTGCAAACCTGACAACCACGGGCATGATCCCCCCAACGAATGCGCCAAATATTTCCCCATTCCCCATTCAGACCGCGGTCCGTTACTCGCGTTGCAGCTGGTGGAGGATGGGAAGGTATAAGGTTCCCATCCTTCGTTCTCCACACCAAGGCCTATATATGGTCGAAATCATACCCGGCGACGAGTAGGTCCTGATTCCAATGGTCCAACAGGTATACAGTTGGTCAAGTGTCGACCCAGCCATCTGGCCGACCCAGCCCTCCAATCCTGATCCCTCTACGAAGTATCTGGAAGTCCCTCGACGCAATTCGATTCATTCTCCGGTCTTTGAGAACGAAAACAATCAGCTATAAGAGCGCCAATCTGGTCATCGAGGTCAAAACCCCCAAGGGCAGCTATCCGAGTTCGACAAGGAATACCCTCCGCAAGGAGAGACGCACATGGAGCCTTTCGTAAAACTAACAAAGATCTTTTCTGTGACACATTGCAATCCAGTTGGAAGGCCACACTCAACGTTCTGTCTGTTCTTCCTCAAAGGGCACTTGAGGATACTGGGATCATCTCAGGTTGGGACATCTTTCTCCAAACCTAGAAATGAAGCCAGGGGATGCCATGGGTGAGATCTGGCGAAGAAACGCACAACACGTTTGCGTGGATGGTAAAATTAGGACATCTTAAGCTCCTCCGGCGAAATCGCTCAAAGGAACAGATCCCCAGACTTCCGCTTACCTCTGTAGGAGGCGACCCACCCAAAAAATTACAGGGGTTCCAAATTCTAGTAGGCCGAGTCATCTGTGGATTAGTATTCTTCATGATTCTTCAGTTCGTTCTTTGATCCGGGGTCCTATCCAGTATGTTGAGTCAGAGTCATGAGTCATAGTCTTGTATTGAACATATCTATGACTTGCTCACCCATGGACATGTGAAAATCAGGCTGGCGCGTCAGCTTGTCTCGGCGTGGCCATATGGAAAGCACTTCTCCAATCCTGAGCCATCGATAGGTCAACAGCTGCGGCTCTCTGGAGGGCCTGGGGCCTGGGGCTGCAGACTGCAGACTTGCCGCAAATAGTGAACCATTCCCAATCATACCCACTTGCCCAGGCATCCCGCAAACGAGACTTCAAGCATCCTCCTTTGGCAACACCGATGTTAGCCACACCACCAGACGCCCAAGTTCGCTGTTGCCGGTTTGGTGAGTAGTTCGTGTGGTCCAGAAGTCAAACCGTTCCTTTGGATGGCTTGACTCAAAATGGGCGACCCTTTACGGTACATAGGTTTCATTTGGTCAGGCAAAACACAGAAGCAACCACAGTAATCAGGCCAGGACTTCATGTCTTACCAGGTTCAGGATGTCTTGCAAAGCAAGTAGGACCTTCTCACGTGTTTTATCTGTAAAACAGGACTATCTACTATCATACCCTCGAATGGGTCTCCAGATCAAGCTACCATTGGTAGTTGTTATTGCTTATTTTTTTCGTTGGGTTTAATTACATGGGTTTACCATTAAGATCCTTTCCCATTGAAAATTTAGTGGAAACAAATCACGTCTTCCCAAGAAGACCTTCCCAAACGCCATCGGGATCCATCACATATCAGTGCCTGTTGGGGCTCCAGACCCATAGCTCCCGTCCAAATGGGCGCAGAGCACACAGTGCTGCTGCCGGCGGCCACCAGATCGTGGCATGCCAACTGAAGCGATGATCGACGTGGAGTCCGACGTGGAACAATTTCGTTGTTGATCCATGCGATGTTTCAACAATTGACAAGTGTTTAAAACAAAAGAGCACTGTAGACACTTGATATATGCCTACTGGATCTCCCAATTATATAATCGCTAGAGATCCTCTGAAGTATCACATGGGCCATGTCCAAGTTGGACTGCTTTTGCACACGTTCGGTGATCACATGTGCCAAAGTGGACAAGTCACACCTGAGAACCAGGATGACCCACCATGACCCACTTGACATTCTTCTACTTGTAGAGGGGTCTCGTGGCTTCTCCCCGGCCTTCAAGTCAGCGAGGTGGGGCGGCAAGACCGTCTGCCTGGTGGAGGTGGATGAAAGCCGCAGTGATGTACCCTCTGACTCACATTCCATGGAAATGGAAAGTCCTTTTGCTCACAGAGGTTTCCGTAGCCATTGGAATGTGAGTCAGAGTGTAACTCTTTACTTCGGATGCTGGGTGGTCGGTGTGACACATCAATGAGATAAGGAATTAAGAAAATAAATGTTGGAACCAAAAATCGTTTAGCGTATGACTTACAATATGTATATATATATAAATCAAACCATACATATTATCCAGTCTTATTTTGGCTTCATGATTCATCAACAATTATTAGTATCAGCGCATCTGAACCTTTTCATAGTAAACACAACTAAGTCTAATGGAGTATTCTCCACCTCCGTTAAATCATTTCCGTCATTGCTTTACGTGCTTCTTTAATCAAGTGTACTCATGCGCAGCACATGCAAACTTCGAGCCCCAGTCAGACTCGTCTGAGGAGTCAGATTCAGAGTTCTCCGAGCATGTCCATTCCGCCAGCTCGTTTACTT